ATTGTACAATCCATCAACAGGCATTTGGACAACTACAGGAAGCATGAGTGTCGCACGAGATTCACACACAGTCTCTACATTAGCAAATGGATTAATATTAGTTGCTGGTGGACAGAACAGTGGTGGTGCTCTCACTAGTGCTGAATTGTACAATCCGTCAACAGGTATTTGGACAACTACAGGAAACATGAATATTGCACGAATAGGGCATACAGTATCCACATTAGCAAATGGATTAGTATTAGTTGCTGGTGGATACAACGGTGCCTACCTCAATAGTGCTGAATTGTACAATCCATCAACAGGCATTTGGACAACGACAGCAAACATGAATATCGCCCGATATTATCACACAACATCAACATTAGCAGATGGATCAGTATTAGTTGCTGGTGGAGCCAACACTGCTTATCTCAATAGTGCTGAATTGTACAGTCCATCAACAGGTATTTGGACAACTACAGCAAACATGAATATCGCACGATATTATCACACAACATCAACATTAGTAAATGGATCAATATTAATTACTGGTGGACTGAACGGCGTTGGTGCTCTCAATAGTGCTGAGCTTTATTAATCGATATAGACAAAATGACATTTTCTTTTATGAACTAAATCATAAATGTTCTTTTATATTTAATCAAATTATTTAATCATTCACATTTCTTAATAAACTATCATTCATCAAATAATATATGAGTTAGAGTGATATTGTATGGCGAATGTTGAAAAAAATCTAAAATGAATGAAATACAGATGTGAAGAATATTATTCATTCCTTGTTACTAACCACATGTATTCGGATGAAAGCGAGTTCATATGTAATGATAACATATGAATAATCATTCTCAAGTGAATATCAGAAACAAATAACTCAATAAGATATTCAAACAAGTCAGTTTTTTCCAACCAAATCTTTTTTGTCAGATAGTGTGATCAGCTTAGTTATTGTATTTTAGAAAGTGGATATATTTTATGTTGTTATTATATGCTTAATTTTATAAAAGGGATCATAGCCACGACAAAAAAAATCAAACCAAATATTTATATCAAAGAAACAAGAGATATTGTGGAAAAACTAGAGTATGGGTGAGAGTGCCGTTGTGGATGTCTTTTGTTTTAGCTCAGACTCACACCCATGTTTACACACCCACCGTCATCTCATTGTGTATCTATTTGAATAGAACCATCTTGAGGGTAGGTGTGAGTGAGGATAATAACGAAGAAGAGACACCCACATCCGGCAAGGTATTATAGACATTTGTTCACAAACAACCACACTTATATCCCGAAGATTTTTATCTACAATAATAAATAATCACACAAAAAATGACAGTTTTAATGATAAGATCTTGAGAAAATTGTAACAAAGTTTAGATTTAGATTTTATTTATAAAAAAGAAAAAAATAAGTTATATTATTTCATTCGTAAGAAAATAGTATCATATGTACGTTTAATTGTATAATTAAAAAGAAGACATTTGAAATCTGTTATATTTTGTATTCTTTCCATCATATAATCATCTGCTGTTGGAATAGAAATGGCTAATAAATGAAGATTAGAATCTGTTTTATGACGAATTTTCATTAAAATAATTTGTAAAAATAAGTTAATATCAATATCACTTCTACAGCCAATTTAAAGATATTTTAGTTCAGAAAGTAGATCAATAAGAAAAAGAACATCATCAAATTTATTCATTTTTTCAAGATAAACTTTTGTAATTTGATTATTATCTACTATAAAATCAATTTCTTCGCGTTCCTCAATCGATAATAATGTTGTAGTTGATAATGTTATAGACGATAGTTTTAATGAATCAAGATCAGGTAAGAGATTCATAATTTCGAATATAGCACCAATGAGAAAATCTTCTTCACTAATTTCTAAATGATAAATTGTTGCTACATCTACAATCCATTCGATTTCATCTATAGGATTATATCGAATAATAAGTAGAGTCGAATGATAAACATTAAAATCATCGTTGTCAATATTAATAAATTCATACCATTTTTGTCTAAAAGAAACAATCAGATGATATATTTTCGTAGGAATAAAATTTTGTTTGTAAAATGATTTATCAACATACCTGTGTGGTTTAATAATAATAGAAATAGTGTCATGTTTAATAGCAACTTCAACAAACCATTGTCGTTTTATCCAAAATGAAGAAATAAATTGATCACATACACAACCAAGAAAGATAAAGTCATCTTCTTCCTGTGGAACTACATTATAATGGAAATAAAAATTTTCTAATTGAGGAAAATTTTGTAGAATTAATTCTTCCCACATATC